CTGCAAGGCTCGCAGGGGGAAATGGAGAGAGAACTACTGAGATACGGAGAGAGAAAACGATGATGATGGGAAGCTGTAGAGAATGTGAGAATGGATAAATCAATGGACTGAAGAGCGAGCGAGAAAGTTGAGTGAGAGGTTTTTTTTTGGTTTTTTTGGAAATAATAAATACCAATGAACCCAAACTCAAACCCAAAAATGACCCCCATCGATTCACATAATCAATCTTCTTGCCCACGATTGCTCTCCCTTGCAATTTCTGAACGCAACAACCAATACGCACATCCCTCGCTATGCCAAACGGGTCTCTTTGTCGCGGAACCATCTACATCCACCATGATGCAGCTTGGCGAAGTAGTGGAAAAGCAGGCCATGCGTATCGTGCCAATAATAAGTTGCTCCATTTGGCAACGTCACTTCAGAGAGACACTTGTAAAGGTCTTTCCGGTTCTGTGATACCATCGATCTGGTGATGGGATCTCCTCCACGCGGATCTTTGATTGCCACCGAGATCGACATTCTGTCCGTCTCTGTCATTTCTGAAGTGTGGATAGCTTCACCGCAAACGGCGCATTTGTCTTTCCACTTCAACAGGCTGTCGAATATCAAACTCTTCGCGAGATCAGCGTCGCTAATACGGAAGGCAAAACTTTGCCTCGTAATCTCATCGGCCCCAATAACACACCCTCGGATACAAATGGCAATCTCGGCGACTAATGCGCGGCGATCTGATATTGGTTTGGGTTCGTACGTGTGCTCGCTTCGACCGCAACCTATAATGTGATTAACAAACTTGATGCTTAGAAGCAGACGAAGGGGAGCTTACCAACAGACTCCCTAAGCGCGCTTAGCTGGTGATCCATTGTGCTTAGAAAGAAGGCGGATTCTGATGTACAGCCATAACACAATGCAATGATTGCAACAATTCTGCGCCATATCTGATCTAAAGGACTCTGATCGAGACCATCATCTGATATGGCTTTCAACTTGTCGAAATACAGCCTGGCATGTGCCAAATTGTCATGCAACAAGTCACGAGGGTCCAAATCACGGGATTCTTGAGGGGCCATGGCTTTCATATGGTCCAACTTTCCATTAACACCCATGAATGCATGGAAATTCGTTTCGAACAACAGGCGATTGACCTCTTCGAAAATGAACGATACTTCAGCGGCCAAGCGTTTATCATGGTCCATGAAGGATGTAGATGCTGAAAGAGTGCTGGAAAGTGGCTTGCATGTGATTGGATACTTGTAGTCTTGGAGGTCGGCTGCTTTGGAAAAGTCGTTCCAACGATTGAAAGGACTAAACTTTGAGCGTTGTTTGGGCCGACCGAAATCGACGTCGTATAGCTCCATGACCTTGTTGATTGCTGCTTCATGTGAGCATAGCCCAGAACCTTGGTATACGGATGCCGAAAAACTCTCTGACACCCATGACAGCAGATTATCGATTTCTCTGGCTACCGTGCGCTCTAGTGTGGTAGCCAGAAGAGCGGTCTGGCAATCTCTCTCGGCTCTTTCCATGGTTAACATCCGCTTTGAATGTTCCTGCAATGGTGCATTTAGCATGGTATTTCGCAGCTCGTCAAGTCTCTTTTCTGTGTCAAGTAGGTCCCAACGCGCTTCGTGATAGCGAAATAGGTCCTCTCTAATGGCAATCCAGTGGTCGCTGACGACAGGCGCAGGTCCTTTTATTGGCTTCTCCAGCGGCGTCCTGGTCATTTTTGGAAGTTGTTCAAAGATTTCTGTCGCTCGTCTTTTGATGGCCTCGTCGTAATTGCGGCGCTGATAGTGTGCCAGCCACGCGGTGTCATTCGTAAGTTCCGGTATTTGCCTCTCAGGCAGATCTAGGCCACACAACCAGTTCTTGTCAAGTGATCGCATTGGCATCTTACCATCTGATCTCATCATTTGATGGAAGTTCGGTGTGCATGCCAAATGCAGAGCAATGAGTTCGACAGTTTCGTAACTCAAGGGCGAGGGGACTGGGACTTCAGGAGGTGGGGTTTCGGAAGTACCAATTCCTTGACCTGTCGGTGTGATCGAAGTTTGGGGACCTGGGTTGTTGATTTGATGGAGCTGGGGATCCAACCAGATCAGGTGACCAGAACCAAAGTTGGAGGTGGTGTCCAAGGACGCAGGCCTCTCGTTGCTGGAAAGTAGGGTGGAAGCTCCTGGGACCTTAGGATCATGTCCTCGAACGGTTACGAACGACTTCCCTCCCCTCTGTTCGGCATTAATTAATTCGTCGTCGGAATTCCCAAAGGTTTCGATATGGTGAGGAGCTTTGCCAGTCTTTCGAGGTTTTGGGTCTTTTGCGCTCTCGACTGGTACGACGGCGTTTCCAGGTCGTTGCTTCAGCTGCTTAATCCAGTAGTCTCGCATGGCTACAATATATTGCTCTTTTCCTGTCTCTTAAATCAGCATGCAACTCCATAAATGAGACCAAGGATAGTTAAGTGAACTTACGAGTGTATTCGCTGGGCCTCTTCGCTTTGATGTCCCCCACAATCTTCTTGGCCTGGGTTTTGTGCTTAGGAGACACCCAATCATATTCCAATGCCTCCCAAGGATATCTTTCGACGAATGTTACGGGAACGCCCTCCACCACGTTATGGTCTTTGACATGTTTGATGTCCATCCTAATCCACTCTTGTCTTCCATTGAGGTCGAACACTGCGTTTCCGTCTTCATCGAGTGCCACGATATCGTTGTTTTTGTAAAGGTCATCTTGTAGGTTAGCACGTCTTGGTGCATCCTGATGAAATTGAACCGGAAAGCCGAACACAATTTGATCCCATGACTTTTTCAAGTCTATCTTCTGGTAACGCACCCAGTGCGCACGCTCAAACAGAAACCAATTTTCAACGGGCCTAGTGGAGAGAAATTTATGGTATGTCGTGGATTTTACTTTCTTTTGGGGACTGGAGGCAATGTGCTCGAAATACGAATTTGTGACGTCCTGTTTTTTCTTCGGTTTAGTTTGAGCCGTGCTGCTTCGGTTGTTGTGAAAGTGTGGGGTTTCATCAAGAGCTTCGTTCATCATAGAGACATCTCCATCTGCGTCTTTAGGAACGTTAAAATAGTAGTCGGAAGCACCAGCATTGGGGTTGTCATCGGTATTTCTCTCGTTAGTCTCGAGGCTAGCCATGCTGTCGACTTCTGGGCTCGACTCGTTCTGACTTTCTGTATCATCACCTTCGTCTTCCAGGTATTCTCCTCCATACTCGTCCAAATCAGATTCTTCATCGGGTACAAACATTCCTGCTGCCTCCGAGCCAGAATCACGGTTTGCATCGCCATATTCCGCATCCCGCAATGAAGCCAACCTTGTAGATTTCCTAGAGATGCCACTGGGTTTCGAAGTCTCACTCATCATAGTTGAAGTTGAATTGGCCGCAGGGCGGCGTTCGATTCTGCCGGGAGCGTTCTTGTTCTTGTTGTATTGGGCTATGACTTTCCCGAGACGATCCTTCAAGCGCGGATGGAGCACACCGTTGTTTGCCGCCATGGCCGTGTTGATCATAGCCCGGGAGGGTATTGTGCCTGGATTTGCATGTCTCTTTCCCTGCTCAATGAATGCCAAGGCGTCGTGAATAGCTTGATACCAAGGCTGTCGAGAAGGAGGACCATTGGACTGAACCTTCCGTTTGTCAAGCTTCTCAAAGCTGGACTGAGCATCAGAGTCCTTGTCAAGTCTGTCAATGTCATCCACCAACGAACCCACCTCATCGTCGTTAATTTCATGTGGCGTGCCATCATTGCTTGAGGTATCACCGGTCATATCCATGTATTCTCCGGGCTGGCTTTTGTTGATGATCTGAGCCGATCTGTTTGCTCTACCACCAGAAGGATGTCTTGGCTGAGGAGACTTCGCCTTTGGGCGGGCGTGAGCACCTTGATTATCGATGTGGACAGTCTTGCGTTCGTGGTCGATAACGAGCTTCTCTGCTGAGAGGTGTTCTGCCGCCCACCAGGCCGCAGAAGCTTCCCTGCCTCCATGTTCCTGCTTCCATATTTTTCGACGATGCTGGAACCAATTCTATATTCCGTCAGTAAGTGCTCAATTGCTAATAAGCTTGTGAACGAACGTTTATTTTATCCAATGGTACCTTCAAATCTTTTGCAAACTGACGCTTTGTTTCGGTAGGAGGCTTTGGATCTTTGGTAAACTCTCGTTCTAAGATATCAACTTGATTCTTCCCGAGGTAAAAAGGAACCCGTGATTTGGTCTGCGGAGATCTGTAAAAGTCATCCAACAATGAGTTGACCTCGTCGTCATCGTTGTCATTATCGTCGCCGATGTAGTTGGTTTTGCGTTCGTCGTCGACAACGAGCTCCTTTGCAGAGGTGTGTTTTCCCGCCCTGCTCCCTTCGCGATCCCCATCGTATTCTCCTTCCTGAAAATCTGTTCCAATTTCGCCAGAATTCCACGAGGGCAAATATTGGTTGTATTGTGAGTTGAGTGGCTTGCTGGTTTCGGGGTTTACATTTCGTTCTGGAAACAAACGCCACATTTCGGCGCCTTCCTCGGCAGGCCGTTCTGGTGGTCTGGAAACCATTTCCAGGGTTGATTGCGATGATAAACATGGTAAGAAATCGGGGAGAGGGCTTTTCTCATATGCGAAGAAGCTTCTTTATTTTCAAATTCTATCCATGCACTGTTTGTAAACTGCTTCTCCCTAAGTGAATCGGCTTTATACGTGTACTCACACATAGCTCAGGGCCTCTTATAAAGGAAGTTTAGCAAACAGCTAATTTACACAAGCATAGATTTATTTTTTGATTTGCAAATAGTGCCTAATTTAGATTATTCCAGACATCTTTCGAAGCAGGCCCTCTACTCTCGTTATTATTTCCTCGAGGGAAAAAGGGGGGCGTACAATAGCAGGTCCACGCATTCTCGCTAAGCCAATAAGCTAGATCCTGGGGAAAAAAAACACAAAAATATATCTGCACTTAGAAGCCCCATAATTAACATGAGGCCACAGGCTGCGAAGGTCTCACCGGGAATTGAACCCAGATCCCCGGAATCAGAATCCGATGTGCTCTAAAGAGTGTTAGTTTGTGATAAATGTCGATGTCTTTGAGTAAAGCGTGACGTACAACCATTACACCATGAAACCGGTTTTCAGCCAAAAGTGCCTTATTTCTTTACATAAAGTAGATAGCAATTCGGCGGAACCCGCCCTTGGAGAGCCCCACAATTCTAACCTATTCGAGCTAGCCCCATGTCACTTGCAGAACAAAATCGAGTATTCATGCAAAGTATTACGACACCATGGTTATCGGAACTCGGAGAATTGAAAGGCAAACCCTTCAAATGACGTAAGAAGTCATCTAAGCTTTTCTTTCTAAAGAACAAGCGCAACATGGAGTTCATACGGTGTTCTGAATCGGGGGTTCATCACGTGAACTGGCAACAATTACCCTACTATACATTTGGCGCTATACGAGGAGGATTTAACAGCAAAACCCACGATATAAGCAAAGTAGGCATGCCTTGACTTTTCATGTGTAAGAATGGAAAGCACACGAAAACAGGGAATCTAGGGTTCAAACACGTTGGCAATGTCTTTGCGCCTGTCGAGCTATGCTAGAAATACAACTTATTCTCAATCGGCATCCGGAATCTCGATTGTCAAGGCATTATTTCAGCGTAACTTCCACTCCAAAATATCAACCCAAGTAAAGTTGACGTCGTCTACTTGAAGCAGCTTCATCATCGTCGGGTCGCGCCGCTTACCACCATCACTATGCTCACGCCAGTAGGTCCGCCACAAGCCAGCAGTTCGACGAACCTCCTCAAGCAGAAGATTCTCCTCCACAACTACTTTCATCCATGCGCTATTCTCACTTTTATAGTGCTGATGGACAAAGTGTGACCACAACGCAATGATACTCTTGAAGGCCTTGATTCCAGAACAAAACTGACATTTCAGTTCCGGTTTCCCAACACGGGTCGACTCAATGACCTCGCTCACGATGTCCTCAGGCTCCAAGTTGACAGCTGCCTCGTCACAGAACGTGAGTGGAAGTTGGCACTCGAACGTCGGGTAGGGGTGCCATCGTGGCCGGGGTGGCGTTGCAAGAGAGGCTTGACCTTTGGCCTTGAGAAGAACAAAAAATTGTATGAGGAATGCCTCAAGTGTGGTGAGAGCTGCGTGCTGCATCAAGCAAGGACGCTTGTGCGCGTGTTTCGTGCAATAGCGGGGAATAGGGAGACCCTCTTGCCGCAGGAATTTTGCCCTTGCATGGCACTCTTTGCGATCTTCATTCTCTTCAACACTTTCGAATACAAGATGGGTCAAACATAAGTGGTGATGGCAAAGATGTGAGCCTTGTTTCGGCTTGTATGGACCATTTCCGAGAAAATTGACAAGCTCCGAACCGTCCCGGGGCCAGTGGGTATCTGCGAACCATGCCGTTGCGCGAGTGAGGGATGTGGTGTGATCATCATACTGGTAAGTCTGCGAAATGTTAGCTACTTGTCATGCAAATTGAAAGGGGTATATGAACGTACAACGCCGTCTGCCCAAGCGTGCGGACAGTTCTCGGGACTGAAGAGTGCAGCTAGTCGTATGGGATCAAGTGCAGCCCAATCTGCTGGCAACAACAAGCAAGTCCCTGTATGCGTGGGTTTCACACCCCATTGGGCTAATATCGATGAAAAGTGGTGATCGAAATGGGATTTTGCGGCGTACGTGATCCAGGCTATGGCTCTTTGCTGATTGTGCCATTTCTTCGATCTTTTCACTTGATAGACGGGGTGATCTTCTTTTTCGAAGGACTCGCAGAGGCGTTTGCGAATTTTGTCCTTGCGTTGCTGCCATGGTGGGCGAGCCAATCTCACACCATCCGTAGTCTGTTCCGTGGCGTCCTCCGAATTCAGAACTGGCACGTCATGCTCATTACTGATGACATCTACGTCTTGTAGTGGAGTTCCAGGACTGAGGTCGAGAAAGATGGCGTGGGGTGACGGAAGAGGTCGCGATAGAATTGGACTCGGCGATGGGTTCACAGACTGGGTGACAGAATTTGCAGTCTGGGCCAGAGGAGAGCCATTGTCGGTAGGAGATGGGTTTTCGCTGTCTGTATTCAGATTGCGTTCTTGGCTCTGGGCAGAAACTTCGAAGTTGAAGTTGAAATTGGCGTTGGAAGTTAGCTCGGAAGGGGTAGCGTGTTTTGCGGCCAATGGGGTCAACACTGCAGCAGGCACTTCGGGTTTTCCTTTTTGGAGAATCCCATGGCTATCCACCACATATTGGAAGAACCCATCATTCAAACTCTCTTTGTGTTTATGGTCAATATGTCGGATCAAATTGGCTCTTCTTTTCGAGGAAACGGTGCACGGAAGTCCTGTCGAAGAATCAGTTCTGTCGCAATAGAACATTCGTTCTGCCATCTTGGGAGGCTTTCAAACTCCACTCTCCACAAACATGCCCACTATCCACCCATCTCGGATTTCTCGTTATACTCAAACATTACCCTTTGTTTTGCTTTGCCGTGCCAGTTTTGAAGCTCGCCCCTTCTCGAAACTCGACTTTCATTATGTGTTGTCACAAGTGTGCGCATAGTGCGCCTTCCTCCAATTCTCGCGGAACATGCAGATCTACGAACATGCGTTCGCTTTATATGAGCCTAAGGCTTGAACAGATCCTTTGTTTGTATTTCTAATCTCAACCTTTCGATTCGAAATTCGGTCTTTCCTGGCTTTTAGTTCGTTTTGCCGTAGTGTTTTGAACGAGGCATTAGGGTCTCGGCATATAAGGTAACAAAGGAAACTCACGTAAGTGGCGGGGCAACTGCGGGACGAACATGCTTCCTGAAGAAGAGAAATAAAGAGATATTTTCTGAAGAAGCGAGAATGGCAGAGTACTTTTAAACTGAAGCATTTCATGATTCCTTGGCTTCTCTTCTCAACCCCGAGAATGTGCTCCAGTGGTGTCCTCTCCGCCCTCAGCTTCGCAAGCCTCATGGCAAAACCCTCAGATCAGCAGAAAATACATCATCGAATCATTCTCAAACATGTCCGTCCGATAAAGGCATTGGCGGCACCACCATCATGACCATCGAAGCCTCATCGAGCACAACAAGCAAAACACAATTCAATGGCCACCGAAAGCGTGCGCTTCACACAATCAGTATAGACAGCAGCACAATTTCATGGGGGACCACAGCTCTCATAATACAAATCACAACTCTATCGCAACTTTACCAACTGTCCAAACACATTTCTTACATACCATCCTTGGATTTTCTCGTCGACGGAGCAGGTTAGTTGGTCACAACGTCTGCATATCAAGGACTTCACACATCCAAGACAACGCATGATGGCCAGCTGGAATAGAAATTGAGTTGCTGTCGAAATACAAACACTTCAAGATCCAAGTCACGTCGATACTTGCAGCATAACACGGCTCTACGACTTTCAAATTTCAGCTCAGTCGAACTCTCGGTACGTGTGGACAGGCAGAGTGCACATGGGGGAGGCAAAGAGGGGCATCAACAACTTTTCTATTTGATGGGAACGAGATCGAAAGGCGATGAAGAAACAAAATGAGGAGGAAGTGATAACTTGTGGCGGTTTGTCAGAGTAAGAATATGGCGGAAGTGCAACATGATAGTAGCATACATGAGATCATGAATGAGCACTGCTGGCTTAACGTAGTGGGATGACGGATAGACTGAGGACCGGACTTGGCGGACTGGGCTTGGTTGGACTTGATTGGACTGGATTGGCATGGGTTGGCATGGGTTGACAAACAACACGGCATTTTGCTAAATGATTAAGATGCAAGTCTGGCCGGGCTTGTAAACTTAAGATAGCAGGGCAGTTCCAGAGTAAAGTGGTGCACCACTCGAAAAGGAGGGGTTGTGAGCGAAAGACAAATCAGAGCTTTTGATGTGGGCAAAAAAGGGGACTGAGGTTCTGGGGTTCTTGAATGAAGGATAGAATAGACGACCACTAGCTTTCCCGTTACACAGTTACACTTGACACAACTTTCTCTATTCCTCTTACATGGCTTTTTGATAACCAGCTGCTCGAAAATTAAATTCTCAATGCTCTGATGTCTTAATCCCGTACTTCTCGTTACCCGTACTTCTCATTAGCAAAACTAAAGCGTGGTTTAAGGAGTGGAATCACTCCCTAAACCATGACTCAGCTCCTAAGACTCTCTCGATTAGGAAACAAGACTCCGAGAAACTAATATGTAATGGTTAGCACATCGGATTCTGATTCCGGGGATCTGGGTTCAATTCCCAGTAAAACCTAAACCGATGGTCTTTTTTGTGCTTCGTTGTGTCCTTTTTTGAAGGATTTATTGAACTAATTGGACATCTTTATCTCCGATCTTTTGTCCGAACTCAACCGAGAGAATAAGCGACCAGCCTTTGGGCTGCGTAATTCCTAGATGCATTATTCTACGAGCATTCGGTCACATGGGGCAACGCAGCGCAAAACCACAATACGATTTGGGTTTTACCAGGATATCTGTTCTATTTTAATGGCTCTTTCTCCCCACAACTAGGACAAAGCAAGACTGTCCGGGATATAGAGGTGGTTGAATTCTTACCCCCGCTGATACTTACTTGCCCAACCTACTGAAAGGAAGTTGATTGTATTCTGGCGAGTCCCAGTCCCTCTCCCACGGTAGTTAGCTTTGTACGACTTCACAAAATGAACCGATCCGTGCCGGTCAGGATTTTCAAGAGCCGGGACTCCCAATTCATGCCTCAGTATCTTTGCTTTGCTTGATGGTCATGTGCTTAGGCATATTGGGATACGTGCCATGGTGCTGCCCCAAACTGACGCCATTCCCGCCAACACCAAGGATCTTCTTTGCTTTCCAGGTCCATGGATCCAAACCATCCCATGTTTAAGAGCGACGGAGCCACTCTTCCTGTCCCTTGTTTGGCATTGTCCGTTTGCCTTTCAAATCGCGGCGATTTGCTTCTGAGTAGAGCTCATAGGGCATCTGGCTAGCTGGGGATTGTCCATTTGGGAGATTGGAATATTAAATATTATGACAGTGATTGAATCGAGCAAAAAATAAAAAGAATTGAGATGGAGATCTTCAAAAGAGGCACACAGAGATAGCAAATGGTAGATCATGAAATCGTGGCGGAAATCATGGCCTCTTGTTCGTTGATACTAATGGAACTATATTCAGCTAATTTAAGTTACTTACGAGCTTCGAATTACGAGAATAAAGGCAGTTGAATAAAAAAGAGTAGGCATCAGTGTAGACAATATTTTGTGCATTTGATTTGAATTCCCATACAGAATAAATAAAAATGAGGAGAGAGGAGGATTCGGAGGTTGACCCGAACGAATCTTCAACAAGAACAAGGGAAACCAAAAAGCCGAACTCTAAGTCCGAAAGGAGTTTTCTCCATCTGAACTTGGTAGTGGTAATGAACTGAGCGGACAACTCCAAGAAATCATACGACGTCTGGTGGCAAGAACACCTCCAATTGACGCAGGCACCCCCTGTGACAACGAGGGGCATGATTTGGCAGCCTTCCATATTAATAAGATCTATCTTGTGCGACAACCTTGACAACGGAGTATTCGTTTAGGATCATTAACACGCTGGTACTAGCTTCGCAATAGAGAAACAACCTTCAAACATCCAAGACAAGGTTGAGGTTTCCATTTGATGATGAAGGCAAAAGCCCCTCCCAAAATGATTTCGTAGGTAACATATGAACAGTGTCTAGACTCCCGGACTAAGGTGTATGTAACATGTTTTGATTGGCCATGATCCAGCTCCTCTCATGATATAAAAATCTATAAACAAGAAATGTCCGTTGTGAGCGGGTGTGCGCGTGTCCAATACCAACATCAAGAATACTCATAAAGACATAAACGTTCGCTCCAGGTATCGCTGCAAATGCACGCAACACAAGATGCTCCTCTCGCCTCCTCTCCCACCAATATCTCTAAGTCCGCAGACCATCATCCCACTTTACTTCCCGCACACTGATCCGGCTCTGTCTCTTGTCCTCTCTCCCTTTTCGCCAATCCATCTTATCCAGGCCCATCTTGCTCAGCCGTCTGCTCCCTTTGCTTTCCTTGCTCCTGCTCTCTTCCTCGCTGTCACTACCGCCTGCGCTACATTTTGCTGAATATGTGGAGGTTGGGGAGTAGATGTACTCTCCGTCAACGTATTGTGCTTCCGAGACAAATGTGCTGCGTCGGTTGCGCCTGCGGGTGTATCTCTGCTCCAGGCGGAAGAGCTCGATCTTTTGGGATATGAGGTCGAAGATGTTCACCATGGTGGAGGATGTGAGGATGGTGTACGGTGGTTGGGAGTGAAGCCTCGGAAGGTAGGCCGGCGGAATATTCGATTGAGGGTTGGAATCGCGCAATTGGGTTTGGGTGTGCGTGGAAGAAGATCGACTGAGGTGTTCTCGTGTTCTTCGTGAAGCTCCGTTAAGGTCACTTCGAGTCTCGCCGCTTGGGATTGATTTTCCAGGACGTGTCTGTGTACGTTGACAGCGAAAAAAAAGCAAAGTAAAACAACGCGACAAATCTCGATCAGATGTCAATCGATAAGTCTTTGGGAATCAGGAACCGCATGGAAGAGATCGCAAAAATATGGTCACGACGTTACAAAAAGAAAGGAAGAAAGTCCCAACGATAAGGGCCAACCCCGTTCATATTAAACCCAGTTGACCAGCGCCCGCCCCTCCCAAAGCGGCCTGGCCTCACCCCAGACCCATCCTGACATCCTGTACAATATTAGCCGGTGGTATTACGCTAGTATCCGCCATCCAGGGCAAAGAGCGCCAGAACAGTCCAAGTCGAAAGTTAAAATGCAACCCAGTGCGCGTCCGGCCAGGGCGTCACCCTGGGCAGCCTATCTCAGGCTGAGAAATCCCGGCCCTGCAGCTTGATGTGTCAAAATCCAGCAGGTCGAAAGGGGTCGCACGTTGTCCGTGGGCCGCACGGCACGCACGCTAGAACACGCCATTGAAAAGCCCAGAGCACAGTCTCCTGCAGGGAAGGCGACCTTCTCATTGGCCTCCCCGAGGAGGACGGCCCAGCGTCCCCGCTCAAAAGGTCGAGAGGATGCCGAGGAGTTGGTAAAGAAGAGTTGGTTTGATTATTATTGTCTATGCGCACATGGCTGGTTGGGATAAAAGTCTTTTGTTGAAGCTCCTTTTCATCCGACGTGTCTCACCTGGCGCGCCCTCCCGCTTTCAATAGTGTGATGTGAGGTTCTCCGCAAATTATCCATGTTGTCAAGCAAACGAAGCTTTCCCGTGTCTTATCGTGCGAGATGCACGGTTATCGAGGTGTCAGACGCACACAGAAAAGGCACCTTCCAGTTGTCGGGCCTTCATCCGTTTTATCAAGCCACCCTAGGACCAGATGCATATGCAGGAGGTAAGTCGTGATGTTACAGATCTATCCAATCCCTGCGGGTATATTTGCGGGGCGCTCTTGGTGTTTCTTGCATTGTCGAAAACCTTTCGACCTCACCTCTTGTAGGCATTTCTCTCATGCGCTTGAGCATTGCGAATGCGAATAACCCCTGGCAAACCAAGTGGCTAGCATTGCTTCTCAACCTTGACACTACAACATAAGCACTCATCTCATTCTTGTCAGTGTATGCAGCGTACCTGCTTGATCGGAGGGGGGCTATTTCATGGCATCCTGTTCGTAATATTTGTTGACCTGAACGATATTGATGCCAGTGAGAACTTGTGGATTCATCATGTCCCTAAATGCTGTCCAATGGATTCCATGTTGCTGAGTCCAGCTCAATGTTCTTTCCATTGTCTCTTGATATAAGACCGCTAGAATCGAGCTTTTCGGCTTCGCTGGTGCAAGCATTGAACGAGCCGTATTGAACTTGCTCAGATCCAGAGCGAATTCGTGTTTCCTGAGGCATTGCTGCGGCCTTTCCTTAGTCTGCGTTCAGCTGCTTAGTTGGTAATGGTCAATAGCAGTTGCGTCGATCGTAGCTGAGTAGCATTGAATGACAAGCCTAGCTTTCGACTTTAACTCCCACATATCATCCACTTTACTCGCGACGAATGCCTCTTGGAAGTGGAGAAAGAGTGAACCACTAGACACGAGTGTTGAATGGTGGAATTAGTGGCCAATTGAGGTGCATCCAGAATAGCCTTTCCTCATCAAAAGAGATATAGATGCCATTGAAAAAGTGATGTGCCTCTCCCTATATTGTGCTTCTGTTGGGGTCCTGCTGGCGTGCCTTCGCATTGCAGTTTGGTAGCCTGGCTCCACAGGGCGCCGGCCAAGCATCACGCTGACGGGTTGGCTTCCAAGATCCGGGTCAATCCCTTACAGGAGACAGATCCTAATAGTGTATTGAACACTTTCATTTTTGAAACTGCAGATGTACTGAAATGAAGTCGCAAGATGCGGCTTCACATCCCTCGTAGAAGCTCGGTAGTTGGAAAACAAGGTGCGATGCATGCAACTGTCACATGCAAGCCTCGCCAGCGGAAATGCTGGCACCCTCCACTTGGAGGTACAGTCACGATAGGGGCGCCTTGATGGGGCTGTAGAACAGGTTTGGATAATTACACATATCGTGCTTCTTCAACGCTTTATTACAACAAATGGTTCTGATATCGGGCGCAAGTGCCTTCATGCAATCCAGCCATTCAGATGTCAGTGTTTCCTCGCACAGTGCCCCATTGCTACCCGAAACGCTGGTAGCCGTCCATCTATGTGCCCTATGCCCTACGGCAGACGTCAGTGTGCTGCTGGCAACCTTTTCCCGTATGACTACGATGCAGATACATTTAAGGTATCCTCCTGAGTATCGTCCAGGGTTGCGAGGGGGTATATAGCAGCTCTGCCCCGCACAGTCAAACTGGGAACTTTTTGTTCGCCACTTTCAGAAAAACAGAGCCCGGGAAACTTACCTATTCCTGGTGCAAGAGAGTATAATATTCTGGCTGCTTCCATTTTCTTCCTCCTGGGATGCCCTGCTCGTGCGGTCATGAGTCGGAGTACTGCCGATGTTCTGTGTTTAGTGTGTCATTTCGAATGTTGTCGCTGACATTAATCAGGTGGCGGCTGCATCGTATTCTGCCTGGTAAAAGGAAAGCGCTCTTGACTTTGGCTATCTTCCTCCTCGATGCCATCTGTATATCCAGAACTGTTATACCGCGGGGTATGAACACCTGCGTTGCAAAATGCGCGTAGCGCAGTGCCAACCCAGACGGGGTCTCCAGGGTCTCCCATTCCCAGGCTAAAGGTTGGTGGTCGTTGTTGTCTGGTCAATTCT